GTTCTATTATTTTTGAACATCTTGTAAGCCCAATCTCTTTTGTCACAATGTATTTTAACCTCGTTGTCATACCATGGTACACTATTTGACTTCAAAGTGTATGATCTTTCTGGTGCAATTGAGTCAACAACTGACTCACACTGCTGCGCAGACAGCTGAAGTATCTGCCACACGTACCTACAAAATCGTAGGTTCACATGAGAGGCAAGGGATAAGGTGTTTTTCACCTGATTTTTGACATGTCATGCACCTCTTCGGGATATGTTTATTATTCTGTCTCCCACCCCGGAGTATGTGCTTGTGGAGTTGTTTCCGGCAACACACGGTGAAAAAACATCACATATGCACAGTGTCACCAACAGGAGCCAACTGCACATTTGTGATTTCAGTTGGAAGACCTACAATTCCTAGTTAACATCTAACATGACCAAGTAGGCAGCTATAGCCCCTACTTTTTGGAGTGTTACCTCCACGATTTTTTTTTATATCATACATACTCAATAACATCTATATCTTATTTATATCCTGGACCCGAAAGTCACGCAGGTAGCTTTAAGATAAGATAGATAAAATAAGATAATATTTATTGACCAAAACGCGATACACTTGGTATATGTGGTAAGTCAGGGTATATATTTAAAATATGACATTATGAGGACCCTAAGTAAAAAAAAATGTATTCATAACCTCACAGGCGCAACTATTAATTCCATTACAGAAACCTTTGCCAACTAGTCAGAAAACTCACTTTGAAGCACAGCAACATCATGTCAGCGCTACTCGAATGATCCATGGACAGAATGAGCTGCAACAAACCCTTGGCTACCGCCAAACAATGTACGTTGTCGATATACTGTGGCATTTTCAAAGTTACCGCCGGCTTCTCGACTGGTTGTTCCTTTCTTTCCTTTACAAACTTTCCTTCCTCGTGCATTTTCTTCATGTACTTTAACCTAGACAGCTTATCTTGCGCCATTATGTTCTTCAATTTCTGCTGATAATTCTGCGGATCGGAATTAAGCACGACGCTCGAATAAGTCTGATAATTCTATAAAACGAGTAAAGTTACTGCTTTACGATTTGAAATAGCATGAACTTACCTGAATGGAGTTGTTGCACGTCTGGGCGAGACGCTTGCAATTCTTCTTCCTGGCTGCACCCTTCGAGCTGTCGATGTTCTTGTTGCTGACCATCTCGCCCAAAACCCAGTTCCATCTGTTTGCCGAACTCGCGGGGCTCTTGCACAGGGACAACTGCAGCGACAGATACATCAGTTGCCAGGACAATAGGGGCAAATCTACCGAGGCAGACAGCAGTGATTTTCGATTGTTTGCGAGGGGTTGTAAAGTATTATGAACCACGCGTAGGGAAGCATCTATGATTGCGCTTCTCTCTGAAGATTTCCTGCTTAGGTACGAAAGCAGTATGAAGAGGCGATCTTGCGGGAACTTCAACGTGCAAGACGTGGAGAAATTCGTGGCCAAGGTGTCTGCTAGGAAATCTCCCCAAAACGGCAATCTGCCGCAATGGTTCTCCAAGAAAATAGCGGCAAGCAACTGTAGCCTGGGAGGTTGGGCCATGCAAAGCCCCTGGAAAAACTGCTGGCACATATCCCTGGATATCTCAGTCGTTGCATCTATCGACAACAGCACTTCTAGTAATCCCTCGGCTATCGAGGTCAACTTGTCAGTGGAAATCTCAGAGGTCTGTATATGCTGCTGCTCCCTACCGCTTATGCTACCCTCTATCCGGGCAATGACATTTCTTATGATATTCAACTGGTGCTGATGCCTGATGGTTTCTTGATACGCTCCGAAAATCTTGGAGTGTTCAGAGTTTGTGACGTTCAAATTTTTATCTTTCAGGATATTCATATAGGCGGCCAGATGGAAAGCGTTTCTCATGTCAGCCACGAGAAAAGGCTGCAAACAAAAAAATATTTTACGAACAACAACAGAGATACATTGTCAAAAATGCGAACTGGATTTATTGTTATTTTGTAGTTAGTACCTGCATTAAACGATTAAAGGGTAATAAACAAAAATAATTCATTAATAACAAAACACACAACATGTAGAAATCATAGTAAATGTTCAATATGTCTACCTTCAGACATTACGTATGCGTCTAGACGTCGGTGCATTGAGCCACATATTCGCTCAAATATTCCTGGAGTCTCTCTGATTACCCTGCACGCATCGATGATGCGGTTTCTTAAGTCCTCTACATCGCGAACAGGAGTACGATAAACCAAATGCTGTAAATGGACCCAAATAAAGAAATCGAGAGGATTGAGATCCAGGGATCGAGCGGGCCAGTTATGTGGTCCTCCTCGACCTATCCACTGATTTGCATATGTTTCAGTTAAATGCTGACGTGCTACTTGACTGTCTAAAATGGGCGGGAGCCCCATGATGCATAAAAAACATATCTCTTCTAACGCCCAAAGAAACTTCCTCCAGCAGTACTGGATGCGCTTCTCATAAAAAATTGGGGTAAACCAAATAAATTACTGGCTAAGTGTCTTTTTGTTAGTACAAAACGTCAGGTTAATTTCATTGTTGTAACTTTTTCAGTGCTTGTGAAAAAAATTGTTATACAAACTTTATGTTCCCCCTTTAAGGGGCTGTATGTTAACAAGGGATGCTCCAATGAAGTTTCTTTATATGAAAGATCCTATCTTTTTTTCGATGAGGAATCACCTCCTTGAATGTTTTACACTTATTCAGTTACACCCTGTATAATTTTCATCATTTTATATTTGTATTCATAGATATAAGCAGGTTGAGTTAACTATTCGTTAACTAACTTCAGTTAATGGTTCACACTTCGAAAATGAATAGACAAAAAAGACAACTCACCTTCATATATCTACACAAAGGCGGCGGTTCTAAATCAGTCAACAACAAATTCCTGGTGCCGATATCCATCGCGAGCACCAACCTAGTTTCGTCCAATTCATCCCCCCTCAGCCATATATCAACTGTCACCGTAACCAAATCAGAGCACGATGGTATAAAAACGTCTGTTAATAAAATCGGTTTTCCGAAATCTAAAGTGACATGACGTCTGGTGCCAGACTGCATCCTTTCCACCACTATGACCTGTTTGGGCGGTACGGTGAGGATCTGCTGCCAGGGTAATATACAGGTCGCGTTAGTAATGGGGACGATGTCTTCAGGTTGAACGGACGACTTAACAGCGGGACTGACAGTTATGTCGTCTGCTGCCTGTTTCGAAAATTGCCAGAAGATCGAATCTGAAAAAACACGGTGTTAGCTTCTTTAAAATATGCCTAGCGTATACGAGGGCGGTCTGAAAAGTGTCTAACCTCAGCATGAAGATATCAGCACTTGTAAATAAAAGCGAGTGAACTTCCTTGTTCATCTGTTGACAGTTACTCGCCAAAATTTCAGCCATTTTGAATGCGTAGTTGTTATGTAACACTCGTTTGAGTAAGTTGATGTGAGTGTTTTTATGAAAATGGACAAAATCGAGTATCGAACTGTCATTAAACATTTGTTCATGGAAGACAATACACCTACGCAGATCAAAGATAAGTTGCATCCTGTGAATGGGGACTCTGCACCATCATTTACCACAGTGAAATTTTCGTAAGCTTGGGAGACGATGAAAACAGCAACTACCGAAGAAAATATCGCCAAAGTTCACCAAATGATGCTAGACGACCGCCGAATTACAGTGAGAGAGATAGCAGATGTTATAAACATGTCAAAAGAATGCAGAAAAGGAACCGGCTCCAAAAAGGCAAAAACTGTTTTTTCGACTGGGAAAGTGATGGCGACTGCTTTTTGGAATAGTCAGGAAGTTATTTCAATTGATCATTTTCAAAAAGGAAAAACCATTGCAGGAACATACTACGCACCATTACTTGATGAGCTGAAGGCAAAACTTGCAGATAAATGGCCACATTAGCAGAAAAAAAATCCTGTTTCACCAAAACAAAGCACCGTCCCACAGCTCAGCGGTTGCCATAGCGAAAATCCACGAATTACGGTTTGAACTGCTTGACCATTCGCCTTACTCACCAGATCTAGCCCCAAGCGTGGATTAACTCATCAACAGTGCATGGATGAACCTAATTCAATTTTAGGCGATGAAGCTCCATCAAGGACCAGTGTTTATCGATGGTATGGTGAATTCAATCGTGGTCGTAGTTTACTCCAAGACGAATTTCGTGAAGGTCGTCCAAAATCAGTTGTTGTTCCGAAAACCATTGATGCTGTGCGCGAACTGATATTGCAATCGTGTCGATTGGTCGAAGGAAATGCTCAAAAAATAAGATCGCGGTGCTTCGAAACACATCTATGACATCGTGACAGGTGATGAAGCACTTCCAAGCAAATGATCGCCTGTTTTCTCGGAAAAACTGGACATGTCACAACCGTATCACTAGAAAAACGCAGACCAGTCAATTCTGAGTGGTACACAACCATTTGTTTGCCAGTTGTCTTCTAAGAAATCAGGAAAACCAACCGCCAAAGACGGGTCACTCTTCACCATGACATTGCAAGCTCTCACACATCGGCTCAAACAACTGCATATTTGAGCACTCAAAACATCGATTTGATGAGTCATCCGCCGTATAGTCCTGACTTGGCACCGAATGACTTCTTTTCATTCCCGCACGTAAAAAAGAAACTGAGAGGTCAACGTTTTTCGACACCTGAAGAAGGGGTTGCTGCATTCAGAATGCATGTTTTGGAGATACCTCAATCAGAATGGCAAAAATGCTTCGACAATTTGTTCAAATGCATGCAAAAGTGTATAGATCTTCATGGGGAATATTTTGAAAAACAATAAAGTGATTTTCGATGATTAATATTTGCTTTTGTTCTCTAATCCCGAAATATAAAAGGCAACCCTCGTACTTTCAAACCTAGGAAAATAGGTAGATAAGTACCAATATACATTACAACCAAGAAAAAAAAAATTAACAAGAGTTGAAAATAAAATACACAAAAAGAAAAAATTTGTTCTTCATGAAAGTAATACCTTTTTTATTGGTAAATATTTTTCAGTCTCACACCAGTTTCTGAAATATTTTTATTAGGACAGTTTTACCGGAGAAGGAAACCGTATAAGAACGTGGATTTAACAATTTCGTGGTCAGTGGAGGGGTTTCAAAATCTTCTTTTGAAATCAAGTGGAAAGCGATACTTACCTAGCTTATTGTCATTTTCGATATCTCCGTCTTGTAACATATCCCAGATCCACGTGTTGTAGTTAGGATCATTGACGGGAACAGAAGTGCTGCTCCCCTGTTTTGCCTTTTGACTGCTCTTGAACAATTTCTCTACTTGTATTGTCATAAACTTCTCCAAGTTCTCTTTCTTGTCGCCTAAAGCCTCGGCAACTCCTCCGCTGAACGCGATTGGCAGCAAAGTGTTTAGGTAGGAGGAGTTTGCAGTCGCGTCTGCCCGTTCTACTCTCGTTCCCTCGCTGGCCGATATGCAAGTGAAGTGAAGCGGCTGCGTTTCGATGAGACCCTGGAGAACCAAAGATTTCAATTTACCAGACAAAGGATAATTCAACCGAGTCTAACAAATCAAGGCATTCCCAAAAAAAAAAAACAGATATTAATAATAGCCTATCTCTATGATGAATATCAATAAAAAAATAAGCGGTGTAAGAATCTGTAGTATGACTCATTTGTCAAAAGTATTTTGATTAGTGAATGTCTGTTGAAACAAATGCCTCGCGCAAATAAAGTTACATGACAAGTCAGAATTAGTTTCTAACGTAATCTTCTAACTGTCAGTTCTCTAAAGTTTCCTGAACCTATAAAGTATTGAAAACGAACAGAAATTGAACTAAATAAGTTTTATCACTTTGACATTTTTTCAAATAATAATAACGAAGAATTTATTTCCTAACAATACATGTGTGACATGGAGACATTACAAATATCTCCTTATCAAACCATGACTCATCACGATTTGGAACTCTTCACCCACCTTGTATCATTCTTTGAGTTTATTAGACTACAAATGCTCTCAATCTCAGTTCACTGATTAAGAGAAGAGAAAATTCTGATATAATATTCACATACAAATTAATTAATGGTCTTTTTATATGCACTGAACTCCTAGATAAAATCCATCTACATGTGTCTACTAGACCTCTCAGGTATACTTATCTCTTTCACATTCCTTTCTATACCACCAACTATGGCATACATTCTCCTATCGATCGCACACTCAAAAGGATTAATGATAGAAAATTAGAAGTTACTGGTAATACGTTATATACATTAAAAAGTAGTCTAGTCAACATTACAACATTTACTTGTGTATTAGGTTAGGTTAGCTCCAAAGTGAGCGGAGCTATTCGACCCTCCACCGCAACCCGCAAGGGTTTATTGTGGCACACACCTATTCACACTCGACCAAATAAACCCAGCTTCTTAACGAAGCCGATTAGTTTGTATTGTGAGCGGTCTTTCAGATCAGATGGTAATAGAACGGCTCTACCGAATTCTAAAAACCTGATTCGGACCCCAGCGGGGCAGGCACAAAGTAAATGCTCTGCTGTTTCATCATTTGCCAAACAGAGGCAACCCACACTGTCTTCCAACAGTCCGAGTCTCTGCATATGATGATTCAAATGATAGTGACTTGTAAGAAGGTCTGTTAGACATTGTAGTTCATCCCTACTGTAGTCCAACAACTGTTTGGTATCAAGCTTCGAAAGGTGAATAAACGCCTTGGAGTGAACCAATCCTGGAAGCTTCTGCCAGAAGTCCATTAATCTTCTTGCCATCCAGGTGTTCAATGTTTGTTTGACAACGCCTAAAGCGATACCAATATAGTTGTGATAAATAATCAGTCAGCCATAACAAAACAGTTTCCCTGATGGACTCAAATCGCAGC